AAATTCATTCTTTTCCCCAAAATGGGACTCAAACAAGGGCTAAATTCCATAAATATTCAATAGAATACATAGGGTGTATATATATCAAGAAATACAAAACTGAGATAATTAGCATTTAAGAACTAAAAATCCCAAACATTTTTAATAAAAGAAAAAAATGTTGCTAACATTTTTTTAGATCAGGCAAACATGCTAATCTAGTTTACAGTTATTGTGCCAACCATACCAGCACCTTCATGAGGAGTACAGTAGAATCTGTAAGTTCCCTTCTCTGTCAGAGTCACTGCATAAGTCTCTTCAGCTGCATTCAGCAAGTCCTCCTCCGACATAGAGATTTTCGACGCATCAACTCCTGTCGGAATTGCATCCTCGTCGAAAACAACATTGTGGGGGAATCCAGCATTGTTCTTGAACACAATTTTCTCTCCGGCGGCCACAGAGATGTTATCAGGAATGAAAGCCAGTGTGCCATCACTACCACCAAGCAAGACCTCGACAGCCAGGGCATTGCTGGTTAGCACTGCAGTGGCAGCAGTCGCAACAACTGCTGCAATACCTATATCTTTCAATGAAGCCTTCACGGCCAGCTTGGGGGACGGGTGGAACCCTTGGTGGTGGCGCAACTTTGAGGTCGAGGAACCGGCGGCCTGAAGGCCGGTGAATGATGTGATGGCAACAGCAGAAGAAATAACAGATGCCATTCTTAAGCAGCGTTGAAAGTTGTAAATCTACTAGCTTTAAGCCTGTTTGTGAGCGGAGATAAAGAATGAAATAAGAAGGCGAATGGACTTTAATATGTGGTGATGAGGGCCGGGTGGGGATTGATTTTGTTGAGGTTGTAATATGTGGTGCATGTTTTTTTGGGATAGTGTATGGAGTGAAGAAATAGGGTTATCTGATTGGCATTAATCTGATTGGATTGGGTAGAAGCAATCTTCTGGTGTGGAAAATATTGGATGTTTCTGATTTGAGGTGGAAATTATAAATCACAAATTATTAGTGGCACAGGATAAGTTTTGTGTTTCCAAAAAATTGCGTGGATGGTTATAAACTTCCAATATAATCAAGAACCGGATGAGTCATATTTCAAAATGTGTTTGCTCCAGTTTCATAGAATGGTTGGCTCAATTCTTGTAGGAGGACTTGACCCGTCAGATTGATTATTACAAAGAAAAAAAATAAAAAATAAAAGAACCTCCTTTGCTTGTACGGATAGGTTTTTTTTTTGGATCGAGTTAGGGAAACATAATGATTGACATAGGAAATAATCGAACACACACACACACCCCTCAGGAGTTCAACATTATTTATTTCACGTGGGACCCACGCACTTTGTGAGGGTCAGGCATCCAGAGTGTCAAACATTTTCCGACAAAGTAACATTTTCCTTTTGTTTTTTATTTTTTTGCTGAGAATAGGATCGTTTAAACTTAGCAAGTACAATATGCCTATAAGATAAGCATGTTCCAGGCAAAAGCTGGGACATATAAAATTCGGTTGACACCTCTAGATTGACCTAAATAAAATAAAAGGATAAATTAATAATTAAACACCAAATTTAAGTATTTTTCTCCTATTGGAGAAATCATAATGCCTTCCCAGTGAAAATATCTAGATTGCCCCTTCCATAATGATTATGGTTTGGGCACATTAAACCCAATCATGCTATAGATACATAAATACAACAGGAATTTTTAATAGACAGAAATACAACAAGAATTTTTAACAGACAGCACATGACGTATAATCATTGAAAGATGGGGAAAAAATACAAAAAACAATCGAATTAGGTTTCACCACGTTTGCATCTGTATGAATTCGGTAAAAGAATTTCTTGTACTAGAGGATTTTCCCATTAAACCTCATGGTTTGGGATGACGAACGGATCCTTTCATCGATATTTTTCTTACTCAACATCCAAAGTATTGTGATCTGAAATGGGAATTAACTGTTGTGATTTGCGTAAACGGTCACACTTACTAAATCTATATTATTTGAAAATATAATTTTAAAAATATTAAAATGCATAATATATAATATATAATTAAGACTTATTTTTGAGATTTTTTTAATAATTTGATTAATAATAATTAAATATTAAAATCATGATTTTGCTTAAATTTCTCTTTATTAATCCTTGGCTTGTGCTCTTGCTTTTTGTTGCTTTTACTTTGGACCACCGTTTGGGAAGCCTTTCTCAAGTTAGATGTTGGTCTAGTTTTAGATCCATTACAAACTTTTGGGCCTTTCATGTATAATCGGGCCATACATTTTCTGCCCTAAACTAGTTGGTAATTTTGGGCCTTGACAATGTGGATGGTTGGAATCTTCAAAATAAAATAAAATGTTATTTTTAAATATCACCCGCTACTTAAATACACATTAAAAGATCAAGGTTACTTATTGCTTTTTAGTTGGCAATATTAAAAATATAAGTACCTTAAAAAATTTAGTTTACTAACAAAAATTCTGTCGATATATAACTTTAAATGGTAGTAACGGAATATTAGATCAAAAGTAAAATAATTTTTAAAGAAAAACTTAACTACGGTAATATTACAAAAAAGAAATAAAAAGATACGTTAACTTTTTCGGCTGTGTCAAATAAGGAAAATGTTGTTTATTTGACTAATAAAAAATAAAAATACAAAGAGAATAAATTTTTGTTGTCTATACTTATGACTTCTCGTTAACGATTTTTGATCAAAAACAGTTGGTAGCTGCCAACAAACTCATAGAAAAAAGCTCCAACTCCGTAGGTGACTAACTTGTATGGATGACACTATCAACATGCTCAGAGATGTCGATACCAATAGATCACAAATAGGGTCAATGAAAAGATGAAGAAACTAACTTAGGAGCACATTAAGGATGACAACAGTGCGAGGCAGAGACAGTGTACATTGACAACATGTTCTCGCCCATACATAATTCCCAAAGGAGTAAGACGGGAGATAGGATATTTTGCCATACCTATAGTACATGTTGTCCAAGTTGGAATATTCCAAACTCCATTTTGTAGAATAGTAAGTCTGAATTGCCACAAATCTCAAGTGAAAAAAACATGTCTCCAAATTATTAGTCATCAACAACCTGCATCCACTAAGATAACATGGGTACCTCCATCTCAACCACTGGCATAAAAAATGATAGAGAAAAAAGACTTTTTCGACAATAATATTATAAATAAAAAGTAAAAGATATATATCAGTATCAACACTTTTTTGGTAGAGCATGTCGCACCAGACTTACCTAATGCGGTTACCTAGTTAGCGTGGTGTGCAAGCTATTGTGTCAGTCCGAGAGTTTATCCAGTCGCATCTGAAAAGTAGTGGCTGAAAAAAAAAAAGATTATTCTTGTTTTTTTAACTTATAAAATATAGAAATAACAAATTTCATGAAGTTATAGACAATTTATTGTCAATGATTAGTGATTGAAAAAGTCAATGATTTTAGACAACATTAGACATTGTTGTCGATGATAATCGTTGATAGATGAACATCAATGGTCATTATTATTGATGATTTTATTCAAATCAACATATTTTCAGTTATGGCATGCGAGATTTAAAATATGAAACTGAATATTTATTAGGTTATACTCCCCTAAATTAGGTTAATTGCACATTTGTTGATTTGTGTACAATTGTAATTGAGAATGATTGATATAATTATTGTTGACGTTCCAAACTGAATTAATTAACTTTGATAAACTTAATTGAGAATTAGAACGAGGCACTTAGATGGAATAGGAAAGAGACAATTGTATTAACTTTTGCCTTGTGAATGAGAAAGTACAAAAGTCGGAAGTATCCAGGGGGGAGAGGGGTATATATATTAATTTTCTTTTCTTTTCCTTTTTGTAAAAACCGTTTTTTATGTTTAATTTTTTTTCGCATATTAGTCTGACATGAAATTTTTTAACCCAATTTTGAATTCAATCCTGGGCCCGTCCCTAAAAGTATTTTTAAGTCATGATCCTTGAAGGGAGTCGTTTGTCTCCATTTATAACTGCATTCGGAAAGGTTGGCTATCATAGTCACGTCGTCTGCAGCATTTGAATTGCCTCCCAACATTAGCCACAATGTTCTTCTAATTAGGTGCGCCAAATTATTCAGTTGAGAAGGTTTCTTATTGGACAATGAGGTCGGCCCCTTGCAGCTTATCATGATGTTTGGGATACTTGCAGTTATTTTCATCGTTGTTGATCTCTGGTTGGTTGGCTATGAAGTGCTTACATCAACTATGCCATGTGGTCCTAATGAGATTGGTCAAAGGAAGGGTGATGATGTCACCTTAGTCAAATTAATATTCATGATGTCCTTTAATTACATAGAGCTCATTGAGATGATGCGTAACTAGAATTGAGCTGTGACTAGGGACTACGTATAGCTATAACTGTAGGTTTTGATTGAGGACCTTAATTAGGGAGAAAATTTGTGGTTAATCCTTAATTAAGAATCCGATATTTACAGTTTGCACCCCCAAAGGTTGGGATTGTCAATAATTCCGGCCTTTGCTTGAAATACCATCATTTTGCTTTGCGAAGGACTTGGTGTACATTATGGACACCATAATCCATAATGCACACATGGCGCTCCCTTATTGGAGGGGTGTCGGAACTTAATGAGGAGGTTATTTTTTTAAGGGTTACAACTCTTGGTGTTTCGTGCCACCTGTAGACAATTGTTGGGATGAGGTGCCTCTTCACGTTCCACAACGATTTAAAAATGGTGCCTTTTCGAATTCTTCTCCTATAAAAGAGGCATAAACATGTTACGTTCGACACTCAACATTTCGAGCTATTAAATTACTTTCCAAATCTTTGCTTATAACATATTGTCTCAGGTATTTTCCATTTTTCAATTCCTTTTCCATTCTTCCTTTCCATATATAAGGCCCTGTTTGATTAACCATTTTTTTTCATGGAACTAAGAATTGATTTTCCAACTTCTACTTTTGCATTGTTCAATAGCATTTATTTTCTTGGCAAAATGTTTTCTTGCTCCTCCACTCACACGCCACTTTTCTTGGATTTTGTGGAATTCTTGGTGCTGGCGTAATTTTTTTTTTTTCGCAATGGAAACAAATTCTAAGAATTATTATAAAAAAAATATTTTTCTTTAATTGACAATTTTCATGTAAAACAAAGTCAAACGAACACCCAAAGATAAATGTTTTTCTTGAATTTTTTTTTTTTTGGGTTTTGGCAATGAAAATAAATTTCATTCCCAATATCAGTAAATTCTATCCCTTTAATTGACAATTTTTATATAAAACAAAGTCAAACAGACATCAAAAAACACTTTAATTTAAACATTTTTCATGTGAAAAATTATATAAATCAAACACAATAATGTACAATTCTCAAGAAAACAACTTTCCATTAATTCAATTTCTTAGAATTCGTTTTCTTTTCACCCAAATTCCACATTTACAATCAAACGGACCCTAAGTTCAAATGACTTTGCAGTTCATTCTTGGGATAATAGCCAGAAAGAGTAGATAAGTACATCCCATTTGCCTTCGTCTCAGTCTTTATCTACCGCCGAATCAATTTTTGAAATTCTTGAAGTGAGTACAATCCGTAGCCCCATCTCATTAGATATGGTTCACCCATCAACTTTCGTTCATTCTCTACCGATCCTCAATCCATTTAGGGTATTTAGCATAGTAGTAGGCGATGAAAGTGGTTTCTCTGACGAGACGTGGGAATGTCTGAAAATAAAGTCTAGGCCAATGAGGAGAAGTTGGAAAATGGAAATCAAAATACAACATCCC